GGGGGGGGGGGGGGGGGCCGCTAACACAAAGACCAAGCATTTTGCGCGTAGCTGCACCTCCCATCTGCCCCCATCAGGTAACAGCAGCATCCAAGGCCAACACTTCCATGCATGCACACACACACACACACACACACACACACACACACACACACACACACACGCACGCACGCACACACATACACACAACAAAGCAATGACAGCGGCAAAAAAGGGGGAAAATAAAATAAGGAAATAACGGAGGATGCGGCATGTTTTGAAACCCTAAAGGCAAAAAAAACACACCCCGGCAAAGAAACCAGGAGCTAACTTGAAAATGTGCGATTTTGGTCCAAAAGTATCTGTTGGCCATGTTCTTCTTCTTTTCGTTTTCCCCTCTGACACCACGGGCGACCCCTGTAAATATGACACCTGGTCTAACACCGTGGCTGTCGGTACTTCCGTTTCCTTTTCGAACTCGGTGCGGTTTTCTTTGCGGACGCGCGTTTTTTTTTGCCCATCCGACACTCAAAGGTGACATAAACGTACTTATCCCTAAAATAAAATTAAAAAACAGCAATGACAAATCTCTCCTTGCTGGCAAAAAAGTGAACTTTTGGGCAAACGGAGAGATGGCTGGAATATTGAATGAGGGCCTAGTGAACCCCCCGATTCTTTATATCTGACCCTACAAATTGAAAAACCAAAAGACGAAGGCCAAGAGTCCATCTTCGAACAAAAGATACATTCGTAACAGCAAAGTGAGAATGAATCCAGGGCGAAGCATTTCGCCTTGAAAGTCCTCCACTACTCCCCAAATTTGCAAAATCAGAATGAATCTTCAGCTAGAACATGAAACACTGCCATATTTTTTTTGTCTTTCATGCATGTGGTGAGTCGTGGAGTGAGGCCCATAGCTGATCCTAAAAACGTGCACATTCTCCAAGGGAAGCGTTTCGCCTGGCTGCACACCAGGGGCCGAGCTCCATCGGGGGCCAACTCGAAGTCCCACTTACCCAAATTGTCCCTCCATTTCTAACCGTAGATTATGAAGACCGACGCGCAAAAATGAAGAATCCGGGCCCAAATTGGACTTGGCACCAGGACTTTTTCTAGGGGCATACCGCAATCCCTCATCCGCTGCACATTCCGCCCAGAGCAAAGAGGACCATCGTAGCCTTGCCCTTCATACTGCACATTCCGCCCAGAGCAAAGAGGGCCATTGTAGGCTTTTGTAGCCTCGCCCTCCAATCATCTGGTCATATTGAACTGACACAGGGCCTCGCACC